ACCCAACTTTCGCGAAACTTTCGCGAAATAAAATTTTACTTTCGCGAACTCGAAAAAAAAACTTTCGCGAGGGTTTCCAACATAACATGCACGGCTTTCGCGATTAAAACTCCTTACAAGGACCTTTAGATCGATCACCATATATTCATATATTACCCTCTTGTAATTTAACATAGCTATTGAAAATGGCCATTTATAGTGTGTTTTCCCATTAAAAATGGTGATTTTCCATAGTTATGTTAGTTTACCAGAGGGTAAGCCATCTGTATTTCCTTAGAACTTTCGTGTCTCAACCCCCGTTCCTGTCAGGTCTCCAAGGATTCTGCCGTTCCTCCTCTGGCGCCGACGCCCCAAACTCGCTGATCAGCACCGTGCGCAGGGCCGTGAAGCGCAAGGACTCGATGACCTCGGAGGTCCCTGGTTTCAGATGGGGGGCAGAAACCAATCCCGTGTGAAAATCGATGAAACACCAACTGAAACACCAAAAAAAAACAATGCTGGATGTAGTTTTTAATTGAGAAAACCAATTTCTATGAGATTGTTTAGGGGATTTTATATTGGGATGGGATGAGGGTTATATACCTGTTGCCACCCAAAAATGCTGCCGAGACCCATCAAAGACTGGAGATTTGACCCAAAAATGAGGATTCCGCGACTTCAGCGAACGTTTTAATTACTGTCAATGGGGATATCTCGCCAACAGAAAATCGGAATAGAACAACCTTGAAGGGAGATATATAAATATACATAAAGTATATAAACATGAATGATAATGTTCCCAGAATTGGTGGGAAAAACGAATAACACTTGAAACCTCATATTGATGGGAAAACATGGAAAAACGATGATTTCCCAGGATTAATAAACCAGCTCATTGCATACTTATTCATACAAGGCTGGGTATATTTCCTTGGCCCTGGCAATATCTGGCAATTACATCACGTCGAAATGTGTTTCAAACCGAAGGCAGTGATACAAGGCTGCTTGGTTTCTTCCCCGGCTGAATTTGCAAGCAAACGGCTTCTTAAGAATAGCGGGGATCTATGTCAATGTGCCGGCCCGTTTACTACTGCATTCTGCTACGGATCTTCCAAGCAGTCAGAATACCAATCACATGAAGGCAAACAACCGTGCCAAAGAAGATTGGGATAAGCTCAAAACAAGGAGCATCTCTAGAAACGTGGCCAGTGCCATGCAAAATCAAGGCAACGTGCTAAAACCCATGATCAGGCAATGCCTGATGAATTCCACATTTTTTTATCCAAATGAATCTGATATTGTGTATGCATATATATATATATATGATATATGTATATATTGGGAAAAAAAACATTTAAGGTCACGTTATCAACATTTATTAACTGTATGGACGTGGGTGATAAGCCATGAGACGTTTTTGCGCAGGTTCCGGTAGACCTCGGGCTCGCCGAAACTACGCAAATGGCCGGCGATGCATATGACATCACTGACCTTCGATGGGAGGTGATCATAGAAAGGACCACATCGGGGTCTAGGCAACCAACATGGGGACTTGAAACTGCGAAAAAATGTATGATCTGTGTGGTCTTAAGTGGTCATAGAGTCATAAGTAGTCTTTGGTACTAATGGTTGAAACCAAACGAAAGGGGGGAAAGTGTGGGCTAATAGTTAGGAATGGCACAACCCTATTGTGGGACTTGCTGATGATGGTCCTAAGCACTTCTATTCTGAATGGTTTTGTGCCTGTGGATTCATTAGTCCATGTGATACCCCAGCACGCACCCATGCAATCGCCATTGGCATCATTATCCTCCTTCGATTCAAGATCACCACCACCACCACCACCACCGCCACCACCACCACTATTATACTTCATCATGTCTCCACCGGCGCAGACCACAGGGTTGATAATTCAACTTCCTGCAAGTTGGACCCTTTGTTTTTCTTGCTAAAATAGTTCAACTTTAAGTGGAATACATCGCGTTTACCCATCTAAGCCCAACCAGGCCAAACATCTAAGTCTAAGTGAACCAGGGAAAAACAACCCGCCGGACCGGAAACCGTTCCCATAAAACGCACGTTTTTTTAAAAAAAATGGTGATTTTACCACAGTGCCGTGCTGATTTGATGATTGGAAATCCTGGAAAAACTTGGGGCGTGTTTTTTGGCTTTTCAGCGTCATCGCTGCAACGCATGCACCGTTATCAGCTGGCAGTCAGCATTCTTGTGAATGCATCTCCATTGCCAAGCTCTAGCATACACCATCAAGAGGTCACTTTTGGCACTCAAGTTGCTGGGAATTGACTTTTTCATCAGATTCCACTTTCAGCAGCGTAGCAACATGTAACGTAGTAAACGATCCCGGAGATCTCAGAAGCGTAGCAATATTTCATGTACGAAGTACAAGGAACGTTAACATGCCCCCCCCACCCCACCCCACCCCAGCAGCAGCGTAGCAACATGTAACGTAGTAAACGATCCCAGAGATCTCAGCAGCATGGCAATATATCATGTACGAGTACAAGGACGTTAACAGCCCCCCCCCACCCCCACCCCACCCCACCCCATAAGCACGTAGCAACATGTACGTAGTAAAGCGATCCCAGAGATCTCAGCACGTGGCAATATTTCATGTACGCAGTTACAAGGAACGTTAACAACCCATGCCCCCCCACCCAGCCCCACCCCACCCCATCAGCAGCGTAGCAACATATAACGTAGTAAACCATGCCGGAGATCTCAGCAGCGTAGCAATATTTCATGTACGAAGTACAAGGAACGTTAACATACCCCCCCCACCCCACCCCACAATCGCGATATTCAAAAACGTGCGTTTTACGGGAACGGTTTTCGGTCCGCAGGCAAAAACAAGCACTTCCGATTTTGCATGGGTTGCAATATGTTGGAACATGTGATAACTACAATCCCTCTTGTTGGCATATCCTCATCTCTCTCTACTTGGGGATATGCTGCAACCCAGGCAGTCCAGCACGGCACGCCTCCTGGGAAGCATCCACCTTCATTTCCAGCTCCTGTCGCGCCAGGTCGTAGAGCTTCTCCTGGCAGTTCCAGGTCCGTGGTTCCCATCTGTTGATGTTGCAAGACACCGAGGCCATGAATCTCATGGATCTACCCATTTTTTTGGGAGGGATGGTCATGTTGAATGGCTTTCTATGCCCACGTTTCAGGTGGATCGGCGCGGACCTTGTGCAAAGTGCCTTGCAGCAGCTGTGGGTCACCTGGTGGACGCGAAAGCGTGGCTGCCAGCGTCTCAGCATGTCGAAAGATCTCCTGGCAACTGGCTGAGCCAGCGGCTGGGCATCAGCAAAGATCCAGGAGGATCTGATGTTTTTCCACCACCCCCCCTCTCTCTCTCTCTCTCTCTCTAAATATAAATATAAATATAAATGAATAAATATATATTATATATTTATATAATTTATATATGTGGAGTGCTAGAATACTGCAATTCCAATATGCAATTAATTCTAGAGTTTGAGCTGCAATCAACATATCTGATCATATCTGTAGAAATTGTGACCACGCATGGTTGTAGTTCATGGCGCAACGCTTCCCTGCACTTGGTCATGGCTAATTTGGGTTCTACACATCTATAAACATATGATGTATGAACATAAATAATATATAGGATTAGTTTTATGTCCATAATGTTTGATGTCCACGGCTGCCACTGCACCTCGTGGTTCACGAAGTCGGGCCCACCACGGCGGAGGTACACCACGAGCAGCGGAACCAGGAGCCACTGGACGGCAAAGTCTTTGCATTTGCCCCGCGGGATGCACAACCCAAAGGTGACCTGGTCGGTGAACGGGACCGGGGAGAGCTGGGGGGGTTCAATGGTGTTTTCAACGGTGTTTTTTCACTGGTTTTCAATGGTCTTCACCGTTCTCAGGCCAGGTTTTCGTCCAAAGGCATGGTGGCCTTTTTTTTGAGGTGAACATTTACCATTGGAATTGCCACTCTTTCAGGAGCAATTCAAACCAATCTTGGTAAATGTCCCGTGCCATGGTGAACATCACCTTGAAATGGGACATTTTTCTGCCACGCTGCCACTCTTGCATACCACGCATCGATGTTTCAATCTTTGGTGCGTAATATAGTTATAAACATATATATATATTTACATATGCCATAGTCCAAGACGTGTTTGCCCCTATAATTCTACAACAATCCCTCATAAATAGTATAGAATTATATCACCAATTACATCACCATTGTCTACAATCTATAGTATACCATGTCATCCCCTCATAAACCAGTCAGTATTTTCACCAATGACAATGGTAGTTCAACTAGCTGAGTAACTAGCTGGGATGGGACATCCCCATTGAATCATCTTGCTGGTCAAAATCCCATGGATTTATTTGCCAGGCAGAAAGCCAGTCAGAACCAGTAACAAGCCCTATAAAATCACTACAAAAATCCCTATAAAAACTGCACAAATCCCACCAAATCCCTGTATAGACTCTAATTATCTCTAATTCATAAGCTTTAAAAACCATCTAAAAACCATAGTTACCACATTTCGTCCCACCTCGTGGCCACTCCAGGGCAGTCCGCCCTCGATGGGCCAGTGGCGCCCCAAATCCACCGCGTCCAGCCGGACCTCAACGTAGCGACCTTCGTAGAAGCCCGTGGTGCACCTGCAAGGTGTGCCTTACCCTCTGGTAATGACTAACATAGCTATTGAAAATGACCATTTATAGTGGATTTTCCCATTGAACATGGTGATTTTCCCATCAGTTATGTTAGTTTACCAGAGGGTAAATTCCTGGAAAAGATTCACCAATCACTGGATTGGTTTAAGGGAAAATCTTAACCGGAAACCATGGATTTTACCATCAAATTGGTTGGGCTTTCCGGTTAAAATTTTCCCATAATCCAATTATATATATGAACCAATGGTTAGAATGGATCATCAATATGATCACTGAGTCACTGGTTGGTGGTCTACCTACCCCTCTGAAAAATATGAAAGTCAATGGGAAGGATTGTCCCATATATTGTGGAAAAATAAAACAGGTTTGAAACCACCAACCAGATAGTGATTTGATGATTTTGATGGAGATTTGGGGATTTTCTGGTGATTTTCTGAGTTTTCTGGTGATTTTCCCAATCTTCCCAATTTGAAGTTGGAGGCATCAATCGACTGGGTCCCGTATAATTTTAATGGGCTATCCAATGGTGCTGAGAACATCGACCAGAAAGCCTGCCAATGGACCTCCAAATATATGGGCTTCCCACGGATTTTGCCAATAATTTTGGCAACCATCCATGCCAAATCTCCAAATGTTGTCACGAACGCATACCATCCATACCGCACGTAAAATAAGGCCTGTATGATTATATATATATATATATATGATTATATATATGTGATGTATTTTGACCAATGGTTTGAATCTGCCAAAAACTATCTTCACGATTCTTTACACAGTGGCTTGCGTAATTGCACACATGTGGCCTTTCAGACGCGGGATTAGTTACTACTCAAAATATCTACGGTATTCTATGTAAACTAAGAATGACAAATAGCTGTGGGGCCCAAAACTGTCATATTCTTTGACCCATCCCCATATCATCTGCATCGCTCATCATGGGTAGCATTGGGTAGCCTTAGGCGTCCTGAAGACAAGTGACGATAAGTGACGTGACTAAATAGTTTCACTATTTTGCGGGTGCGCCATGTTTTTTTTCATCTCTCTCTCTCTCTCTCTCTCTCTTCTTTCTCATTCTGACCCCCTCTCTGTAGCACACATGGTATGCAAATATATGAATATTGTACACATACACAGCGCCATAGATTTCATCTAAAAATATACAGCGCCATAGATTTCATCTCATTCTAAAATACATGGAGGTGTCCAATGTAAGTCATGGGGGGTACCCCCAAATCATCCAATGGTCCAAGTCATGGTCATCTTGACGGCGAAGCCAGCGCTACCTGGTCATCTGTTCCAAGACATCGGCCCATGAGGCACCTGGCAGTACTTCTGGCAGCTTGTTTTTGGTTGAAATAGCTACAAGGTGGTGCCCCATAGTCGGTTTAAGAAGGGTTAACTAGGGTTTATGGTAAGCATATCTTTTGCAACATTTATAGATATCCATGAATGTGACATTTCTATAGTTATTGGAACACCACCATTTCAAAGAAAAGGTTAAGAATCTAACTAAATTGGCCATGACTGCCATTGCCATGACTGATTCCTGGAGGTTGTACGGTTATACCTTTAAGTGGGGCTCAGATTTTCTAGGAATCATTTTTTTTTCAAAGGAAGGACGAACAAATCCTGTGACACCAACTCGGGTCTTTCCATTCTTAGCCAGGGTGAAAACGGGGTAGAACAATAAACCATGGTTGTCAATTGACTCACTGGGTTCTTCGAGGTTGGTCAATGATTCCAATGATTCAACCAGCGGTGCTTTTTCCTCAGTGTCATCCAGTTGCTCAGGATTACATCACCGCTCATGGTCATAGCGATATATGATATATGGACAGTCCATATTCCTCAGTGAAAACCCTTCTGAAAATATAAACTGTTTGGTGGTAAAACAACCCCTCGGAAAAATATGAAAGCCAGTTGGGATTATGAAATTCCCAAGATATGGAAAAATGAAAGCCATGTTCCAAACCACCAACTAGTAAGTATACCCAGTACCTTGCTGACGATCTACAGTAGATTGAACCGTTGAACCTAATCGCTTTGATAATTTTTAGGCTCCATAAAAATGATATTTGAGAGATGGAATTTCACAGGTTAACCACTACATGAACTGGCACATTTTACAACCAGATCATTGAACGAGCTCATTAACCAGATTGACCATGATTGACCAACATCAACCCCTATATCGGGGCTTATATGCCCCTTCTGTTGGGGGGTCCAACATCATTTGCGGCTCAAATGGGCCATGGACTTATCTAAGTGGTGATCGTAAGTGAGCTATATCTGGATAGTGGTTTCAATGGCTCATAACCCACTTATCAAGCAACCAGTTGAGCTATGGAAACTACGCCGGTCCCATCGAAGTGTAATTGGTGAAGTGCAATTTCTTAGTTGGATGGTACCTTTTTTTTGTGCCTCAAACTAAGGAAAACCCCCATATACACCGACTCATATTGTTGGCCGGGTAATTAGATACAGTAGTTACAGTAGTTGGCCAGCTAGTCTGTTAGTTCGTTAGTTAGTTATATCCCATGTGACAGTCCATTATATCCACATCATGCCACTAGTTGGCTAAATTCCACATTTCTGCTGGTCAAAACCCCAATTCCCGTTAGTTAAATCACCATGTGTGTTAAATCCAGGGCTTAAATCACCTTTTTTTGTTGCTTAAATCCCCAATGTTCTGCTGGTGAAACGAGCATTTCTTGTTAGTTAAATCCCATGTTTTTGGTTTGTTAAACTGTTAAGATCTATTAAAAACAACCATTGTTGTTGCTTAAATCACCACCATTTTCTGATACCCTCTGGTAAACATACAAAAATCTGATGGGAAAATCACCATTTTATAGCTGGGAAAATCCACTATTTCGACTGGGACATTTTCTATGTCGCAAACTGTTAGTCACCAGGTGCCAGGGGGCATTTTCTGCTGAAACATGAGCCTATCAACCTATCAGATCCCACATCGCCACGTCGCCTGGTGCAGGTGGAAAGACCTGGCCACTGGCGCTGCAGGCGCTGTCCTCCTCGGCACTCAGACCCTGGGGCGCCGGCCGCGCCCAGCGGCACTGCCTACAGGAGAAAAGGCAAAGAATGGGTGAAAAAATGTGAAAAAAACTATCATGGATAGGTATTTCTCTGGTAAATCTACATCTTATATCATCTTATATGATAACTCTACATTATATTTATATATATAGAGAGAGAGAGAGAAAGAAAGAAAGAAAGAAAGAGAGAGCTATGTACATATACATATATAGGTATGTATATATATATATATGTGTGTGTATAAAATTAGATAATGCCCCATGTAATATTAGCAATTTGCTGGGTGGCGCCACTTTATGAGGATACCCCTAAGAAAAATGACAAAACCCCTGGTTGGGGCGTATAAAATGATAATTCCAAAATGCCTTTTTTATAAAATGACAATTCCGAGTGCTATAAAATGTGAGGTCTCTCGATTTTCCTTAAAAAAATGAGGACTTGTCAACAATTTATAAACGCCCGGCCAGAATAATTGCATGTCGGGACCATTTTTCGGAATAGACAGGAATAGACATTTTATAAACCGATCACCGGCCCATGTTACAAAAGAAACACTACCAAGACCATTTTTGGGTATATGTCCTTTCTCAATTTTCAAATACAAACAATGCGTGTTATAAAATCATAAATTCATATAAATGTGTATAAGTGAAACTTATGTTTTACACACATGCATTTTACTGATGAAATCTTAAAAACTCGCCAAATGATTGTGCTTCATTGGGTGTACAGTAAGCATCTTGCAGTTCATAAGAGGTCACAGTTTAATTGGTATTACAATAAGTATATTGTAAAATGGTACCTGCTCAAAATTCTTATAAAATTGCATTCCATGCCATTGTAAGCAGTTGAAAAATGAATCATCATTTTATAAGGAAAAAAGAATAAGAAAAATAAGAACAACTATTTTTTCTGACCCAGGGTCAGGTGTTCTTCTTGTTCCAATTATTCATATCATTTTATAGCCTCAAAAAACTGGGCTAGTTATTAAAATGACTAGTTAGTCCTCTTTTCGGAGGCGCAAGTCATAAGGAAACCAGGTTTTGCGGTCCCAATTTGAAACCATGGGTACCCTCATAAAATGACCAAAATGACCCAAAAAAGCGAACCCCAGGTCTACCCACTCCATAGCGGATATTACGAGGGGGATTGTAGTTGCATACGTATATATATATATATATATACATATGTATATATATATATATATGTGTGTATATATATATATATACACATATTCAAAACACATTTGTTTGTGCATAATTATATGGAAACTTATTTTAGCTGAGAGATCTATATTCTGAAGTCATTTTAGGTCTAATTTTGGAGATTTAGACCCAAGCAAATTCGCGCTCCTGGCCCACCAGCCGAAGCAGTTGGCATCCGCTGCAGCCTCAATTGGGTTTGCTAAAAATGGCAATCGGAAATCCCAACCTGGATAGCGTGCTTAATATAGAGCCCCAGTCAGTGGTGGATGAATTTGGGATTCAACTGGTTGGCTCTGATTCAATCTCCATTTCTGATCATTTCTGTATGTTAATTTAATACATTCCCTCTATCATTTCTGTTGGTATCCTGTTTTCCTCTCTGCTAGGTCTGCTAGGTCAGGTGGCAATCCCTGCGGCTCTCCATGGAAGTGCCACCAAGGCGACCGCACCCATGAGCCACGGCTGCCATGGCGAAACATTGCTGGTTGGTGGTGCAATAACCAGCTTGAAAAATATGAGTTCGTCAATGGGAAGGATGACATCCCATATGGAAAATAAAAAATGTTTGAAACCACCAACTAGATTGGTTTACTAGGTTGCAGTTGTTGCTCTAGGTTTTGGTATGTTTTGGTTTACTGATGTGTGCTGTTCCTGTTCCCGCTTGCTACCGCACTGTTAGCCTTGTGCAAGGTCTGGTTCGGTAAAGTCAAGGCGCAAAGCTGGGGTGGCTTCTCCAAACCTATCTCCAAATTGTCCATATTTGCAACATGAGACTACTTCGTTCGGCTTTGCAGGACATGAATCACACACGAGGCGAACGAGTGTACTTCACTACAGACGACCAACCCTTAGGCCCCAAAAGCAATTGTGGGTTTGTCCAGGCATGGGGTAAACAGGTAAACTCCAAGACTGCAATTTTACAAACGAAAAATGATGATGATCATACGATGATCATACGAAAAATGATGGTGCTCCAGCTATTCTGATAAATCCAGAAACAAATCCAGCATTCCTGTGACAATAACGCAGTTTTTCGCCCTTCAACAGCAACCAATGCTCTTCTGCTTGCGACGCGAGGGTCCTTTTCCTGGGTAAAGTTGCGACCAACATAGCAGGTATTTCATTCATGTTCAGCCCCTCATTGATAAAGAAAATCATGGGTTGCATGGCCCTAGCCGCTTGGGCGGATTTACTTCAAACAAAACACACCACAGAAGCTCCGCCTCCATTTCTGGTAGGTGCAAACCATCTTACCCCAGTAGGTCACATTGTACCCCCCCACGTAATACCCCCATTGTATCCCCATCAAATCACCAATAAATCCGTGGCTAATCCCACTACATATCAAAGCAACACATTATTGTGATGTGTAAATATATGCATATATATATATATCTCTCTCTCTCTCTTCCCATAATTGTTATACAATGATTGTTAACACACATTTATATACATATATATATATATACATAACAGACATGTATACACAGATATTCTCCCATATATTCCCCATGATACCACATGATACCCCATTGTATCCCCCCATGGCAGCTGCAGCTTAGCCACCACGTGGGCGAAGTGCCGCCGAAGGCTTCGTCGCAGTGGTCGCGGCTTCCTCTGAACTCGGGGCGCTGGAGGTGTTCGACGACTCCTTGGGGGCAGCTAAGGGATCTAAACATTGGATTAGTTGAAGGGAAACCTAGAGATCCTAGAGAAAACCTAGAGGAAACCATGGTTTTAATTTTTTACCATGAAATATAAGGTGCTCCTCTGAAATATAGGGTTTTCCGGTTTTCCTGTGAACCAATCCCATAATTTAAACCACCAAAACATGTGTAAAAGGATTGGTTTACGGGAAAATTGAAACCGGAAACCCCCATATTTCATGGGAAAATACATGGTTTCCTGGAGATTTTCCCATAAACCAATCCATTTTTTATGTTGAAAAATATGGATGGAACCTATGAAAAATCGATAACATTGATCATTGGAACTTTTAAGCAGCAAGAATGGGGATTTGACCACCCAAAAGTAGGAATTGAAACATCCAAAATGTCATCCAAAAATATCCAAAATGCGGAGTTGAAGCGTCAAACATAGGGACTTAGCATGATTCAACCATCAAACTTGATGAAACGCAGAAACATCAATTGGACATTGGGACATACCATTGCCATACACATCTAGAATATATTACATATATAATACGTATAAGTATATATTTATTTAGGATTATATCTGTGTGTGTGTTTGTGTCTGTGTATAGATCTCGTGTGTTCGTTAACTTGCCGGAGGGCGCAAGTGCTGAAACCCCAAAAAAGAGTGACTGCTTGCTGGCAAAGGGTTGCTATAGCAGCCTGGCCCTGCCAAAGAAAGAACCATAAAGCAAAAACAACTGAAGCACATAAATTCAAAAGGGTTAGTGTCACCAACATCATCCAACATCATCTGGTGATCTACTGATTTAACATGATTTTCTACAGCAAACCTCTTAGATTACCATAGGATGTCATCATCCAACAGCGACCGGCCAAGCATCAAAGCTCTCTTTCTGTCGAGCCGCCAGAGGCAGGGCGGAGGCGCCCTATCAGACAGGACGTGGCCAAATCCCCTGCTAAGATCGTCTAGTTTTGTTCGTGGGACGAGTCAGGATAAGTGGAAAAAACCATCTAATCACCAAAAAAAAATGTGAAAATCGATTTCTATGGTGAAATTCCATCCATTGAATTTGTTTCCCACATTTTGCTTTGGATGCTTCAAGAGTAGAACTCAAGAAAAAACTGGAGAAGAAAAATCTTCCCCAAAATGGGTGGAAACTATTTAGCGGCTCTATGCTTCTTCATAGCTATCTTCCCCTGTGCAATTGACCCATTTATGAAAAATGTTCTAGCGACATATCCATCAATACTTCCAAAATGTAGCCTAATACCAGGGCCAAAAAGGTCTTAGCGTGGTCTTTGGCGGGTCCATGTTTGATGATTGCCTTCCTGTTGGGTGATTTTGTAGAATTGACTAATTGCTGGTTTCAGGAAATTGTTGGTCTGTTGCATCCCTGTTTTGTGCTGGTTGCATGCTCAGAATGCTGCTTCAGCCTCGGTGAAAACTCCTCCCAGCAGATTGCCAGTGGCTAAAACCTTCCCCCGTTTTCGCTTGGTCAAACGTCAAACCCACCATCTTAGTCAAAAAATGATTGCCCCCAACAAGAAACGCCCCCAAGAGAACCTGGTTTAGCACTCGTTCTGTTCATTTGGGGTCCCATCTAGTTGGGGTGGCTTATGATTTGGGAATCGGGTTTTCGTGTATCCACATTCGAAACATTGAAGCCTCGAAATCAACTCACCCCAATGATCTATATTGGTCATACCTATGCCCATTTTTTGGTTCAGTCACCATCTTTCATCCAATTTCTTCCCCGCAAATCACAGTTTGAGTTTCGTCACATTTACATCATGCTAAATCCCTATCTTTTGCTGGGCATCTCGCCATTTCCATGCGTCAAATCCAATTTCATCCCAAGTCCCAGCTGCAAAGTCCCCAAAGGCAGTCCGACATCACCATCCCCACCTGCAGCTCTGAAGAACCACGCCCGAGGCCGAAACTCACACGCTGCGCTGGATTCACGGGCGACGCCTCGGAGCTGGGTGCACTGGCCGGGCCAAAGTCGGGGAGCTGGGTGCACTGTAGCCATATGCCACAAGAAAACAGATGGAGGTTTCTTAAAGTGGGGCATTACCCCCCAAGAATGGCTATGAAATGGGGAAAATGATGATAATCCATGATAATCCATTGGAATTGGTGGTACCTTATTTTCAAAACAACGATGCGGTCACTCCCATCCTCCCAAATGTGGCGACCTCCGCCAGCGGACTGGTCGCAGTTTGCCTCAGTGGAACCCGGCGGAGCTAAGTTAGTTTATAACTGGCCGGGTTAGTTATGGTTTATGGTAGATATATCGGACTAGCTCATGGGATGCTATTCACCCCGCTTCGCGTGGGGTGGCCGCCCACACCGCAGGTTTATTTCGGTCCGTGAGAGGGGCTAAGGGTGGTTTTCCCCCGTGGGGGCTCTTCAAGCTAAGAAATTTCAATAAGAAATCCTTCCAAAACATTGTTTTTGACAGTGTTTTTCCAATGTTTCCAGTCAAACAGACGGTAATTTACACGTTTTTTGCCATAAAGGCAGTAAATCCTTCCAAAACATTGCTTTTGACAGTGTTTTTGTAATGTTTCCAGTCAAGCATACGGTAATTTACACGTTTTTTGCTATAACGTCAGTCCAAAACACTTGTTTTTGCAGTGTTTTCAATGCTCTGGCATCCAAAAACCCTGCAAAATCTTGCTATGTACAATGTTTTTTTCATTTTTGGCCGTTTTTCCATTGCCGGAAAGCTACCAAAATGACCCAAAATTCCATTTCAATACCCTCTTGCGCTCAGACACCCAAAAATCCTCGAAAAATGTCGAAAACACCACCGTATTCTGGTCTCGGTGCGAAACCGTTTTTTGGCCCCCCCCCCCAGCTAAAGCTGATATAGCGACTGCTATATTAACAAATGTCATTGAGCATTTAGTGTTGCTGTTGCCCCCCAATAAGCACGCCTTCACCGCCAAAGCGGTGTGGGCGGATTTTATAAACCAATTTATAACTCGGGGCACTACCGTGTAAAACAAATTTGTTCACCTTGTCTCAACTTCCGAAACGCGTCTGGAAACAGCTGGAGAAAAAACATCACATCCAGGCAAAGAACATGGTCATGGGTCGAAGCCACATAAACACCACAAGTGAGCCAAATCGAAAAAATGCATCGGCATGGACATGGAGCCTGAAAATCCGCCCACACCGCTTTGGCGGTGAAGGCGTGCTTATTGGGGGGCAAAACAGCAACACTAAATGCTCAATGACATTTGTTAATATAGCAGTCGCTATATCAGCTTTAGCTGGGGGGGGGGCCAAAAACGGTTTCGCACCGAGACCAGAATACAGTGGTGTTTTCGACATTTTTCGAGGATTTTTGGGTGTCTGAGCGCAAGAGGGTATTGAAATGGAATTTTGGGTCATTTTGGTAGCTCTCCGGCAATGGAAAAACGGCCAAAAATGAAAAAAACATTGTACATAGCAAGATTTTGCAGGGTTTTTGGATGCCAGAGCATTGAAAACACTGCAAAAACAAGTGTTTTGGACTGACGTTATAGCAAAAAAAGTGTAAATTACCGTATGCTTGACTGGAAACATTACAAAAACACTGTCAAAAGCAATGTTTTGGAAGGATTTACTGCCTTTATGGCAAAAAACGTGTAAATTACCGTCTGTTTGACTGGAAACATTGGAAAAACACTGTCAAAAACAATGTTTTGGAAGGATTTCGTATATATATGTTGGAGTTGGCTACCGGCATTGGAACATGGAAAAATTGAAGAAAACACTGTAAATAGCGGTATTTTCAACGGTTGGGGAGATAAGGGAACTGGAAGCATTGTCGAACATGATGTTTTCGACCGGTTTTATGGCGACAAAAGTGTAAAGTACCGTGCTTTGAAGGAAACCATTGCAAAAACATGGAAACACATTCAAAGAACACGGGATTTGGGGGACTATCTAGGCGTCGTTCTCTAGCTATTTGAAATTCCGCAGCTTGGAGAGCCTTCAAGGGAGGGAAAAGTGAAAATTCCATAGCTTGGGAAGCTGTCACGGCGGGGAAAAGTGAAAATTCCCTAGCTTGGGAAGCCCCCACGGGGAGGAAAAGTGAAAATTCCCTAGCTTGGGGAGCCCCCACGGGGGGGAAAAGTGAAAATTCCCTAGCTTGGGGAGCCCCCACGGGGGGGGGGAAAGTGAAAATTCCTTAGCTTGGGAAGCCCCCACGGGGGGGAAAAGTGAAAATTCCCTAGCTTGGGGAGCCCCCACGGGGGGGAAAAGTGAAAATTCCCTAGCTTGGGGAGCCCCCACGGGGGGGGAAAGTTAAAATTCTTAGCTTGGGGAGCCCCCACGGGGGAAAACCACCCTTAGCCCCTCTCACGGACCTAAATAAACCTGCGGTGTGGGCGGCCACCCCACGCGAAGCGGGGTGAATATCTGAAGACTACCCGGTCACGCCGTGTCGGGTGGCCTGTGGGCGGCGACCGTACTTACCCTCCGGTCCGGTAATATTAACATATCAATGAAAAATGGATGAAGAAAGGTCTGTTTACAAACAACATCAAACAACTTACTATCAAATTGACCTTTAGAAATGGTGATTTTGCATGGCCATGTTAAATTACCAGAGGGTGTTAAAAATGATGTCTCCAGGCTCAGAACAGTCTTGCACTTATCAGACCTGCAACGGCCCAAAAAATCTGGCCACATGGCCTTCCTCTATGCCAATCTTAAATCCCCTGCAACAATTGTGACCTATTACTGTAATACCTATTATATAATATTTGCAGCTGTTTGAAAATATAGATCCCCATTGCAAAGAATGAAACATTCCCCTGGGGGTAAACTAACGATGTGGAAAACCCATCCTTTCCTCAGGAAAACGATCGGTGCCCATCCTTCTCCCTAGGTCTCCCATGGCGCCAGGGCGCAAGGCTTCGTAGAGGATGACAATGGGCGGAGCTGTACGCGTTGGTATCACGGCATTTGGGACATTCGCCTCGTCCAAGGGGATCATCAACGCTCAGATTTAAAGTATCATTATCCAGCCAGCGTGACTGCACACACATACAAATGCTATATATACATATGTGTAATATATATATATATATAATTTATCTATTGATATGTGTGTGTAGGCTAATGATGAATACATAAAAGTTATATGTATATATGATTATATGTATGGTTCTGTGGTGCAGTATGGACCTACGAGACAAAATCGAACCGAGAATGAGAATTAAAATGTAACAACAACAACAAAAAAAACAACAATGACAACAACAACAAAAACAAAAACAACAACGACAACAACAACAACAAAAACAACAATGACAACAACAACAAAAACAAAAACAAAAACAACAACGACAACAACAACAACAAAAATGACAACAACAACAACAAAAATGACAACAAAAACAAAAACAACAACGACAACAACAACAACAACAAAAACAACAACCAAAAAAAAAAACAATGACAATGACAACTGAAATATACCGTGCTGAAATATACGGAGATGGTATCAACTGCTTCCAGGTCACAGTGTAATGCCTGATCGATCCTGGTGCATCAGGCGCGAAAAAAGGAGACTGCTAAAGATGTCTTGCGCTAAACTTATGAACAGATATCTATCTATCTATAAATAATTATAATATATATATATATGTGTGTGTGTGTGATTATATGTGTACAGTATATGGGGGTTGTCCTAAATTACTGTTCCCACAAAGGCCTCTTGGGCCGAGCTTGCGCCAACCTTGCGCGTTTCTTGCGCGACCACACTCCCGGATCACTTTCATCATTTCAGTTGTTTTTCATCATTATTCTCGTACTTGTTTTCGAATGTTAAATATTTAGTATTCACTTAGTATTTCGTACTGGGAAGTAGTTTGTGCAAGCTTTGTAGTACAAAGTAGTACTGGGAAGTGCTTTGTGCAAGCTTTGTAGTACACAGGAGTACTGGGAAGTAGTTTGTGCAAGCTTTGTAGTGCAAAGTAGTACTGGGAAGTAGTTTGTGCAACCTTTGCAGTACACAGTAGTACTGGGAAGTAGTTTGTGCAAGCCATGCAGTACAAAGTAGTACTGGGAAGTAGTTTGTGCAAGCTTTGTAGTGCAAAGTAGTACTGCGAAGTAGTTTGTGCAAGCTTTGTAGTACACAGTAGTACTGGGAAGTAGTTTGTGCAAGCTTTGTAGTACACAGTAGTACTGGGAAGTAGTTTGTGCAAGCTGTGTAGTACACAGTAGTACTGGGAAGTGCTTTGTGCAAG